GTAAGAATTTCAGGATCATGAACAATATCTGCTTGGTGACTCATTGTTTCTCCCAGTAATTGGGAATAGCAGGGAATGTTTGATGAGAATCAGGTACATCTATTAGTGCAGCAATAAAACACTCAGCAATATTAAATAAGATAAGACAAGTGTGTCCTGATGTATGTTGTTTGGTTGTTTGAACCATTAACTTGGAAAGAGCTATTACTATTAGAGTAAGGAGGCTGACCCTAAAAAAAGTAAATCTCTAAGACTTCTTGCAATGTAAAGAGACAATTTAATGAAATCCCTGAAACTTTTTTGTATGTCAATCATCTGGGTGTTAAACAAATGTTTGAGAATGTCTAAATAGACTTTCAAAGTGAAGGTGTTAGTTCATACAGGAAGCAACCTTTGTTTGAGCTACATCCTAATTTACAAAATGCATTAATGCCATGCATTGGCAATTATGGAAGAAATTCCAGATTTCCACACCCAGATAATTAACATGTTTTACAATAATTGAAAAACTAGTTCCTAAATGAAATGCAAGGCAGCCTTACCAAGTTTTATGCTTGCATGTCTTCAGCCAATTCTCCATTGGAAATTGTTGAATATATACCAAGTTTCTTTACCTGATTTAATAGTGGTCAAGGTTTTGTATGTATTGTTTTACTGGGAACAAATCAATTTTTTAATATATTTCCTTCATTTTTTAAATAATACATTCATAACAGTTACTGAAAGACACTAAAATAATGCCAAACATTTCATAAATTATTGCCTATAACGATGCCGCATCAATACTGCAATAGTTATTGATTCTACACTACAGTTGTAATTCTAAACAACAAATAATAGTTGCAACATTGTTATTGTGTTAACCATGATATCCAAACCCTGATTTGTATTACTGACAGACTACCCAATCTCAGTTTGCACTCATGAGACTAAGCCAAGAGCAAGTAGTTCTCAGCATAAAAATCATTTATGTCAAGAACCATCAAATGGGGTAGGGCCTTCAAGGACAAAGAACCAAGAATTCACTGAAACCTGGAATGTGAAGAAAGAAAAAGTAAGCAGGCATAAAAAGGGAGCTGCTCTATCTTATGTAAAGTGGCTTCAGTCTAAGTTGTAATAAATATTCTTATCTAACTGCGATGTCTGAGAGATTTCTGCTAGGTTCAAGCACAGTTAAGGCATTACAGTTGTGGGGACTGGGTGAGATTTCCACCTAGTTTGAAGAGCCTAGCAGTACCCTTTATTTACCTAATTTTTATAACACATGTCATTAGCAGCATGACAAATATTCATTTATGGTTAACTTACCTTATAGGACTTTGTCTATAAACTGAAAAATCATGTCTCAGGCTCCTATTTCATCTTCATCTTTCCCAACCAAGCAGTGTCTGATTCAGATCAGACTACTGCTCAAAACAGTAAACCACTACAAAGTGGTTGAGACATAGCTAGTCACATGTGCAATCAATAAATTATGGCTTTTATGGTTTGCTATATCACTTAATGAAATACTCAGGCAGTACTTGCATCTTGAATTGCTAACCTTCCAGCAGACAAGCCCAGTGTCTTAACCACTTGGCCATTGCACTCCTAGCATCATCCTATTCTTATGCTAATAAGAGTTATTAATTTTATGGCTTCCTATCTTACACATAATTATATATAATTATCCTAGGTGGCTCACAACAACATGCAATAAAACCCAAAAAATAATCCACAAAACCCTTACTCCAAAACATAATTATGGTACACAATGAGGACAGGCTTATATCACCTGATTGATGACTGTGAATCTAGAAAACTCTCATAGTTACCAGTAGAAAAATCAGCGCAATCCCAATTCAATTTAGGTATTTGTAATGCTGAATCTAACATATTTTTTTTCACATCAAATGTTTTTGTGTATACATGACTTGCTATTTATTTTTATCTTCTGGTATTTCAGACTATTGATTAGAAATCATACTACTTTTAAATTATAAAGTATCACTGTATTCTTATTGATTATATTTAGAGTTTTATGAACATCTTTCATTGAAACTAGTCCTCGACTCATGACTGTAGTGGAAACCATCAAATACAATTGAAAGTCATGATATCTGTGAAGTGAAGCACTGTAATTGCCTCACTTATGTACCTCTATCCCTGCTCTTTCCAATGTGGTCATTAAACAAACTCATGGATTGTTAAGTGGATCACAGGGCCCAACACTCTCTTCCTCATCTGCACAACCATTTATCTTTCAAAGATCTTTGGAGCTCAGGTTAGGGATGCTGTGATGACCTGGGACATGGCACAAAGGCTATACAATCACATAAGTAAGAAAATACCTCCAAATTTGCCACCAATGTCCAGTTACCTTTGGCTGGAGAAAAAACCCTCCCAAAAACAGTCTTTAAGTGGAGGAAATTCAGTCCAAAAACAAAGTACATATAAACTGTAAATAAAAATGCACACAAACCACACCGCAGCAATTAACTGGACCGGGCAGATTAAGGAATTGCAGACTTCAAAGGCCAACAAAACACACACAGTTGGGAAGACGCCAGGAACACAGACAAGCCTGAACAATAAAAGATAACTCATGATTTACTTTCAGCAGGTTCCTGTGTGGAATCTCCTTTTTTAAACACTGTGTTCCCAGCTGCAGCTAATGAAGGAAATCAGGACCTTAAGCCACACAACTCACGTTGCCCCCTTATCTGTTTCTCCCTGCGTGCTCTAGTCTAGGATGAAGAGGGGGGTGGGCCTGGATCTTCCTCTGAATTCCCCCTGCCTTACTCTACCTCACCCCTGCTCTGCCCAGCTGGACTTTGCCCTTCCCCAGTTTCTTCCACAGCCAATGGAGCCATACTCCTACTCCCTGTCAGCTGCTCGGCCTCCCCCTCGAAATCAGATTCTGACAGGGGCTTGACACATGCCTTTTTGTTTCTGAGCTGCATGATGCAATCAAGGAAGAAGCCACTATTTTCTGGATAGCTGCATTGAATTGTGGACACGCTGAAAATGGCAGCCTCTTCTAAGATCATGTCAGATGGCTCCGGAATGGAGTGGCTTGTTCTGCTTTCTTAACATGAGTTCCAGACAATCGCAGATCACTGTGGAGCCTTCTGGAGCTTATATTAGGGAAGCAGAGCATTGCTCTGTCTGTGTTCCTGGGCTGCATGACACAATCCTAGAAGCAGCTGCCATTTTCTGGTGGCCACTTCCAGGATCACATCACATGGACCAGGAATGGAACATCATACCTCCCCTTCCCTAATACAAGCCCCAGAGATCTTTGAAAGATAAAGAGGTGTGGGGCCTGGTGGAATGGGAAGAAGGCCCAAGCCTTATGAAGTCCCATGAGGGGAATGGGAGAAGACAGACAGGGAGGTGCTGCAGCATACCAGCAGTCTGTCATAAAGGCAAACAACCACAGGAGTACTGTAGCAGCCATAACTGGTCATAAGTAGCTTTTGAGGAGCCGGTCATAACTTATTATGATGCTAAGTGACTGGTCTTAAGTCAAGGACCTGTTAAAAAATTACAATAATAAACAAAATACAACAATAAATA